AAATGCAGTGTTGTGGGATTTGCGGAGATTCAGTGGCAGTCAAGTTCATTAGTGTGTTATGTAGACTCAGTGGTTGGGTTATAATGCTGTGTGGGCACATCCTCAGGCCCTTTGCATTTGTGCTGGATTTATCTTCCATCTGATGCAGTTTGACAAGGCTGCCTTTAGCAATCTTTAGTACTGATTCTTGAGTTATCATTGTGTGTCATAAATGTGTTTAGTTTTGTCAGATTTAGATAGGAAAATGACAACATAAGTTTCTAGCATTGTAGGGTATGTATCCAGTAAAGAGAGAAAAGTTACATATACTTAAGCTGTGACTTAGTTTGTATTATGGTTATATTATAGTCTATTAACTTATAATTGTAGAATACTAAGCTGTATGAACAACTGGCACTAATTATTTTGGAGGTGAAGGGGGAAAGAATAGAAAAAAAGGGAGGAGAAGGCAATGGCATGGTTAGTTTTACATATATAGTACTTATAGTTTTAAAAGAAAATGTGAACTGTCTGAATGGCCAAGGTCATGATGCTGCCCTTGCTGTGGTGCTGATGTTTTTTCTATGCAATATTTGTTGCTGTGCCCTTTGGAGTTCTAGTCACAGATTACAAACCAATGAATAGCTAATTGCAGCAATTACATATATTTAAGTAGATTTTGTTTGTGCCTGGTAAATAGGAAGCCAGAAGCACCCAGTAACTTAATGATGGATCACTTCCTTTTAAATATTCTTTACATGAATTAGCTGAAATAGCAAGCTAATGAATAGATGGTGATAATTTGTACTGAGCAGCCTGCCTTTCATGCACATTTCAGCTTTATAACCAGAGCTGAAGGCTTATGCACAATACACAAATAATAATACTAAGAAATATTAAAATTAAACTGAATTGAAAAGTCTACATAAAAGCATTAAGATTTCTAGTGTCTTGCATTCTCTATCTTTACATTGTAGCTATTAATGTGTTAACGTTCATAACTTTGTCACAGAGTAATCTAATAATTCACCAGGCCACTTACAGGGCATTAGGATTTTTTAGGTATATTTAAAGCCTGTGTGTAGCTTTGATTTTTTTTTTTTTTTTTTCAACAGACCTGCTGGCTTAGGTTTCCACACCAAATACAGAGGTCTTCTGGAGTAGGAATTCAACACTGTAACACTGTAACTGCTTTATGTAACACAGAAAGTTAAAAACAAAATACTTCAGTGTTTCTTTCTGCTCAGGGGTCTTCAGATTGGTGTTGCCTTGCTGTGCAGGAGACTTTGAAAGCAGCTGTATTAACAAAATACACAGCAGAGAAAGAACAAAAGTTAAAAGTATCAGAATTAAAAAAAAATAGAAAAAGGCAGGATTGTCATGACCATATGTTCAGCACAGGTGCATTGTAGTCAATGTGTGTGAAGGCCTGCGGAATTAAAAGGAAAGATAATCTAAACCATCTTCCTATAGCTATCAGTGATTAGCAGTTCTTTGCACGGTCACCATTTCATTGTATCTAAAGAGTTATCTTTATTGCTTGGAGTTAGTTTTTAGACAATGAGAATAGAAATGGCGAGTCTTGAAAAAAAAGTTTTCCTTTTGGGAAAGGGGTGGTGATCCCACAGTAAGTTTGTAGCAAGAAATGACAGGTTTTAAGAGGCAGGCACACTGATCATTGTTTCCTAAGACTTCCAAGCAAGGACTGGCATCTAATTTGGTTCCTGCTCTATTGTTGTAAGCATGCCTATTTAAAAATGCATCCAGTTCTCCATCAGAGAAGTTGGTGAACCAGGAAGTGGCACTGTGACAAGTGGTTGTAACCATGCAAAATCTGGTAGTACATTAAATGTAGAACAGCAGAGTTGGATTCCTTGTTGAACAGAAGTAAGGATGATTTAATGTGGGAACAGGTTGCCCTGGGGAGGCTGTGGAATCTCCATCCTTGGAGATGTCCTGTGCAACATGAAGAAATTAGATCTAATTAAAAGTGCTTTGGGATTAAAAGCTTTGGGATGGGGTTGTGCTTGATGGCTTCCAGAGGTCCCTTCCATCCTGAATTATTATTTGATGCTCTCAGTAGGCAGGTTGTACTTTGGAGCGAGTGTGACACAGAATCAATTAAGTTTCTTCCTGCTGACTCTGCCCATCGAGTATATAACACCCCACCAGGAAGTTTCTGACCTCCAATGGGAAGGCAAGCTCCTTTCAGCATTTCTTCTAGTTTAAAAAACTTGCAAATTACTGGTTTAAATCTGAAACATGCATATTAATTTGTATGTTTCATAGACACTAAGAAGTTTTTATGTTTTGTTCCCTGTTGCTTCTGTTCTGCACTGAGTGCCTGAAACTGGCTTGAAGTCTGGAAAATAACTAAAACAAAAGTAGAGAATGGAGGTTATGTTTGTGCTTATCCTTTTCTAGTTGATGCAATATAAAATCTGCTCATTTGGCAGATGAAATTAAAGGTGCCCCCCTTCACACACACTAATTGCCAGCTCTCTAAACCTCCCAGGAATTTTCTGTTTTCTTTGGCTCATGTCATACTCAGCAGTGAAGATTTTGTAATGGGAATTCAGTTAAAGTTTTGTCACATCTGAGGGCCAGAAAAACACTTGCCTTGTTCTACAGTTTTGTTTGTGTAGATAGCAGTAGGGAATACTAAAATTTGCATTGATTGGAGTTCACACCAAAGGTGTGTATTGCTACCACATAAATTACCTCTTCTTACTAGATTGCTTGAATCTAGCAGGACATTTGGAGCCTGCCCTATTAGATGCCATGTATGGAGTACAAGCCAGATTGAAACTGGAGTATATATGAGGGGGCACTCTTTTCTCTTTTCTTTTTTAATCGTGGTTTTGGATTAGGTTTTTTTTTTTTTTGGTGTTTTGTGTTTTTTGTTGTTTGTTTGTTGTTTGGGTTTGGTGTTTTTTTAAATTATTCATCTATTACCCATTCTTAATGAGGCTTAATTCTTAATACTTTCTTAATTCAGGAATCCATCTGTAAACTTCAATAAAGAAACTATTGATTTTGTTATGGGAAATTCTGACCAGCCCTGACCTTATTGGCAAGAGCACGAAACTGAATTGATGACAATATTTTAGTTGACAGGTTATTACTAGAAACAACAGTCAAGCTGGATTTAGGAGTATACTAAGAATACTATTTTTCTAAGCTGATACCAAACACTTTTTTTTGCGTATACAGTAACTTGAGTTTATTTTACTGTGCACAGCTTGCTGTATGATGGGAGGGAAGGAATTTGTTTATTATTTCACTGTGGAGTACCACATAATGTTCCTCCCTTTCATTGATAAATTTATTATAATCTTGTGAATTATGAGTTTTTTTAGATTAAACATGGAAGTATTTTTTTTTGTAGAGGGATAGAAAAGACAAAGGAGGCAACATAAACGTATCCAGCTGTCTTAATTTTTTTTAGACCTGCAACACATCTGCCAAAGTTTTCAACTTTGTTTAGTTTCTGTAAGCTAGAATTTGTTGCACTTAGGTCATTTGAGGACTTCTACTAATTACAGGGAAGGTAAACAAAATGATTAAAAACAGATTTTGCAGATTAGAATACCCATACAAATCTTTAGAGTTACATTATTCAGAAACTATAGTTGTGCAAGGCAGGCTGCAAAATAGAAGATATCTGGAAGGATTTTTGGTGTATGCTTTATATGCACCCTGAAGTGCTCTGAAACCTACTGCAAATTATGAAGAGATTGTGCTGTCAGGTTGTTTTCCTGCTCATCTTGTAAGGAGTACTACCCCTCTAGGATTTCACTTCTTGAGGGAAAGCACAGGGACTGATGCCCAAATGAAGAGGTGAGGCATGGTTTCCCCTTAAATCTTGTGTTTTAGAGCAGGGGTTTGGTGTGGATGTCCCTGCCCCCACATCCTGCCAGAGAAGATAGCAGTGCTGTGGAAGTGCAAGAGCAGATGGAAGGTGGCCATGGTGCTGTGGTGTGGGCCTTGCCTACTGCTCTCTCGGCAGCCCTCCCTGTGTGGAGCAGCCCTTGCTGTGGCAAAAAGCCCAAGCTAATAAATCCCACAGGGCTTGTTAGCCTGTGCCTTGCTCTTCTCAGTGCTTTCCCTGTGAAGATATGCCTCAGCAGTTACAGGCTGATCCTTGATGGGGCTGCTGTCATTTCCCTTTTACAGAAAGTATGCCTTCCTACAAAAGATGGCAAATTGTTCTGGCCTTTTGTTGTTGAAGTGTATGCCTAGGTTGTATTTCAGACTTGTTTCCTGCAGTGCAGGCAGTTGTATACCATGCATTCACCCTGTAGTTCATTTTGCATGTAGATGTTTCTTATCTGCCGGACAGTTACTAGAAACCCATACAAAAATGGAAGCTAACTGTGCTTCTCCTAGTTACACATCTATTGTTGTGTGTCTTAAATTTTTGTCAGGGCTTCAGATGGAAGGAAAAAGCCCTGCCTTTTCAAAACCTGGGGTGTGGGAGTGCTAGTCAGCCAAGACAGTTGTATTTGTTTGGGGTTTTTTTGTGAGCAGTTAAATAGTTGCTATTTGTGTATTTTCTTTATAATTCTTAAATTCACTGGGTTAAAAAGGATAGATAAGACTATTTGTTTAATTTTCGTGACATTGACAAATTTCCTGTATAACCAGGAAATTCACAGACTTAAAGCTGTTCTCTTTCATGACTTTTATTCTGTTCTCCATCTTCTCCTCCTTAAATTATTTTACACCTGTAGGTGTAACTTGCCAGTGCTGGTAAGGAACCTTTAAATCTTGGGCTGGGAAAGTTGTGTAAATAATAAAGAATGCTTTCTTAAATCTGTATTTGTTGCTGAGTGTTTCATCTCTTCATGAAATACTGAATATGTGTTAAAATTCTCAAAATCTACCTCTGAGAAGTATGCTTAGATATTTTCCTGAAGTGGCCAATATGATGCTTTTTTTTTTTTTTAAGTCAGGGCTGTGCTGTGCTGCTGTTGTGTTGTGAGCTGCTGTAATTTGGATAAGTCAAATGTTGAATTTTCTCTCAACAGAAAATTTTCAAAGCTGGAGATACTAACCAGGATGGACAGCTAGATTTTGAAGAATTTATGCAGTATCTTAAAGATCATGAGAAAAAGATGAAACTGGCATTCAAGAGTCTGGACAAAAACAATGATGGTATGGAGTTATTTATTTGTTCAAACATAGTTTGAAGAGACAGTGCGTTAAAAGTTATTTTAATTTATACTCCTTGTCTGAACTGAAGACAAAGTTGTGAATATGGAACCCCCAATTCCTTTCCTCAATAGGATCATAATTATAGTTTATACGTTGAAATAATAAATTATTATAGTATTTTTTCTTTTTATTCTGGGTCCGTTGATCTGGAGCTCTTTGTTCCCCAGATGGAGAAACTAAATGGAAGTTTTTAAGTATCTGTAAAGACAGAATAGTTTTTAACTCACTGAATGTTTGCATCTCATTTGGTGACATGATTTTAATGTACTTACCTTTGCTCAGTCCATCTAGTAAATGATCAAAATAGATTGTGTTTAAATTTATTTTGAATTATCTTTGCTATTACGTAGGTGTTACAATGGACCTTGGTGAGCTCTGAGGTTATAAGTGTATGAAGCTCCATGTTTTAAATATGTAACATATTTCTTTCAATGTTTCAAGGAAAAATTGAAGCATCAGAAGTTGTCCAGTCCCTCAAGATACTGGGTATAAGCATTTCAGAAAAACAGGCAGAAAAGATCCTGCAAAGGTCAGGAATTGCTATTTCTTAGAGTATTTTCAGCTTCTTTGTATTATTAGTTATTATATTTTTATAATTCAGAGAACAGGATAAATGGGATTATAACTTTGAAAGGTATTGGTACCTTCAGTGGTGCCTTTATAGGAATTCTCATGTACTCCATCTGTTCTGGGGTGATAGTAAGTCTGCTAACTATTTGAGCATCTGATTCTGTCAGGACAATGTTACCTCATTTCCCTGCAAATGCTGTTGATAGAATGAAGCATTATATTATGTTTTTAGATGGAATGTGCCAGATACATTTGTATAACAAAAGCATGGTATTGAAAAGCCATGGCAGATTTAGACTTGAATTTGCAGTCGGTTGTCACTGCTGTGATGGCCAGTATATAAAAAAGAAAAAAAGACAACAAAACAGAACAGACCCTCACCCCTGATATTTCCTTATATATTTGAGTTTCTTTTCAGTATTGATGCTGATGGGACAATGACAGTAGACTGGAATGAGTGGAGAGATCATTTTATGTTTAACCCAGCTGCGGACATTGAGGAAATAATTCGATATTGGAAACATTCCACTGTAAGTTTAACTTTTATTTTAACTTTATACAGCTCTTAGGTTCATCTCTGCTGGGTTACTTGGCAGTATAACAGCTTGACAATTGTGTTTCAAGCATGCCTGTATTTGATTGTTTGGCTTTCCTTTTCACTGTGTGCTCTTCCATTTACCAACAAAGTAGCATGGTGCTTCTTCTGAACGAAGAACTTAATCTAAACTTTACCAATTATTATCACTAATTCTTAGGAAGGAATTTTTTTCTTCATGTGGAGATATTCCACAGGAATATAACCACAATATTAAATATTATATTATATATGACAGTATTTTCTTATACTCAGTGCTTTTGATGTGTTGAAACAAATTATAGAAACATTTCAACTGTTTCTTACATAGAAGTTAGTTCAGTATTTGCATTTAAATCGTAATATTATAATAAAATCACCAGTGTCATTAGTGATTTTCTGTGTATACTCTCTTGTGCTATACAATTTAAGAATGATGTAATACAAAGCAGTAGGCTATCCACTGTATAGATAATTGTGTAAGTTACTATTAACTGAAGCTTTTGCCATCTCAGTGACTGACTTTTAAAAATATAAAATAAGGTAAGTAAACTAATAGTAATCCTTCCTGGAGATTATTTGAATGATCCATGAAGTTAGGTAAAGACATATCTTTGACTATAGTGAGACTATTTATATTTTCAGACATTAGTCAGCATTTTCTTAATAAAAAGCAGAGATCTGAAAGCTGAGTGTTTCGTGCTGTATGGTGTCAATTCAGAAATGCTTGCCAAAAGGGAGTTAGATCCCTGTTTGCTGAAGAAAACACTTGAAGCACTGCTATAAGATCAGATAGTCCTGGTCCCAGCTTACCTTGTGGAAAAAAAAACCCTAACCTTAACTCCAATAAAATGCTTTATATTACTATTATTAAACAGAAAATTTATATATTTTTAAATTATAGACTGTCATTGGTTGCCCCCAAGAAGAAATTTTTGAAGTCTGTTGTGATCTTCCAGTGTTGCAGTCAGCTGATGACCCAGTTATCACAACAAGCAAGACCCAGCTATATGACAACACAGCTGGTGTTTCAGATAAGGGCAGATATGTGACCTCACATGCCTGGTTGGCATTGACAGCTCTTCCAATTCTGTTTTTATTGTAAAATTGCTGTTAGACTCTTCTGAACAGATAGATGCATTGGCATAGAATTACTATGAGTTGGTAGCTGAGGCCTTTCTGTTATAAACATCCTTGAATTTAATTTTTTCTTGTAGTTGTGTTTAAGGCTTGGTAGACATGAGGTTTAAACCCTGGTAGATATGTCTATGTCTCTAAGAGCACTGAATTTGTATTTTGAGAGTTCTGATTGACCTTTTGATAATTTTATGTAGTTGAGCAACTGATGATACCTTACTTGGAAAGCATGAAATTCAGAAAGATGAAAGGATTTTTCAAGCAATCTGTTCTATGTTCAATATCCAGAATAGCTGGTGCTTCTCCTGCTTGTCCAGTGGCTGTATCTGTGATCTGCATCCTGCAATTCTTGTCTTCCGAATGACCATGGCAGTACTAGGTCTACTTAACAAAAAGGGTCTGGGGTGTAAATAGGGATGTAGTGTCTACAACTAAGATCAGCAGTAGCTAAAAATAAAAAGTTTATCAGTTAACATGCTTTCTGGTGAGTACTTATTATTATTACTAAAACATTCTTACTCCTTTATAGTTCTAATTTGTGCATACTATTGGCTTTGCATTATCTACAGTGTTTGTTGTTTTTTCCTCATATATCATGGTTATAAATTACACGAAGAACAGAGACTGTTTAAGTGATACATGAGATTCCATATTTGTACATCTTGTACAGCTTTGTCACTAAAGCCTATAGTTATGTTCTTTGATCAAATTGAGTGGCAATACAAACATGCATGTCTTGATGAAGTTTCAAACTGTAATCGCTGAAAAAAGTCATTAACGTGTCTTTTGGTGTGACTGATTATAAGAAAATTTATAAAGCATTAGTCAAACTTGTCATTTTGTAAATTAATACATGACAGTTACCAGAAATAGAATATTCTGATCTACTAGCTATAAAAATGCTAATTGAAATGGCTGTTGGAGTGTGGGGGGAGAAGCAGGGGAATGAGAAGTCACACATGTGTGAATAAATTACCATGAGAGAGAAATCTCCTGTTAGCATCCTTAGGAGATTACCATACTAATCCCAGGAGGCTGTCCAGTGAAAGGTTAGCTGCAACATATAAGTGTGTGAGCTTCAGTGCTGACTGTAAACGTCTCTCTGATCATGACAAAATGTCCTTGTTTGGGCCACACTCAAGGCAGAACTTTGCCATAATTTTTAATGATGATGGTGCAGTCTTTGAAATGGTAGGTCTGTGGTGTTTCTTTTCAGTATCTATGTAGAAGTCATTAGGGTTGCTGCTCATTGAGTAAATTAGCAATCCATAGCAAGTTAATGATAGAATGGGAATTAGACTTTTTTTTTTTAACTAGCATTTTATTTAAATGTTCTTAGGTAAACGATTAATTTGGAATTAAAACTGTGGATAAAATTAAGGTGATGGAATGAAATAGTTGTTTGCACATCTTTGCTTTGGATTCTAATAGGTGCTGGATATAGGAGACAGTTTGACTGTTCCAGATGAGTTCACAGAGGAAGAGAAGAAGACTGGACAATGGTGGAAACAGCTGCTGGCAGGAGGAGTGGCTGGTGCTGTGTCTCGAACAGGTACAGCACCATTAGATCGCCTTAAAGTGATGATGCAGGTAGGTGCAATGTTCAAGAACTTCTTAGTTTTCCAATGTACTATTTCAGTTTTTACAGAGCTGTCATGGAAAACTGATGGCCAAATAAAATATCTAAAATCTGAATATCTAGTTATGTTTTGACAATATTCATGTTTTGTGTCATGAAAGGTGTGATTTCCATAATCACATTGACAAAAATGTGGATAAGATATTCTACTACTTGTGCCACTAAAATAAGAGTTTTTTTCAATAATGGACGTTTTTGCTAGTTGTTATATTTAAGCAATTTAATACTTGAGTGATGAGTTTTACAATCTAGTCAGAGCAGTGTTCTTTAATGTGGCTTTCATTTATTTTAGGTTCATGGTTCGAAATCAAACAAAATGAATATAGCCAGTGGTTTTAAGCAAATGTTGAAAGAAGGTGGTGTCCGATCCCTCTGGAGGGGAAATGGTGTAAATGTTGTGAAAATAGCTCCTGAAACAGCTATTAAGTTCTGGGCATATGAACAGGTAGGTCAGTAAATAAGGAATTAAAATGATGGTATAAGAAATACTATCACTCTCACTGTTCGTTATTTACACGGCTGTATTATGTATGAGTCCTTATTGTTGTAAATTTTGTCACAGAAATTCAGAGTAACTTTAAGATTTTAAACAGTCTATTTGTTCTGTTAATAGAATACTTCGTAATAGACAGATTTTGCCTTATAAGCAGTGTAACTGCACTGAATCTGTTACAGATTTGAAACTATCTTCCAGTCTTCATAGCTTTATATGGAGTACTGCATTCATACCTAGTTTGTTGATTTGAAGTGACAACCAAAAACTTAGCACGCTACGCTGGCTGAATTTATGTAGAGTTCTTTTTAAGTCAAATATGGTGCTATGTAGGATGCCCTCATCCTGGATTTCAGAGTTATATTTACCTCTGAATCAGCTTTAAGCATCATGTTAAGGCCTAATCCTCCTTTGGAAAATGAACTTCTGCTCTGGTGTAGTTAAATGATCTTTATTTTTTTTTCTGTGGGACTTGCTAGTGCCTCAAGTAAGACTAAATGAACATATTCCACATAATCTGTCTAACTATGAAATACAAGGAACACAAAAGTAAACTTTGAGATATTTTAATACTGGCTGGCAGATTTTGGTGCCATAGAGTAACTGAGCACATTGTTCTGTACCCTTGCTCTGCCTTCAGGAACTGATGCACATTCTTGCATGATGGTGTCTCTGTCTTGAATGACCAAGTAGTTACAGCTCTGGAAGTGTCTGGAAGTTGATCTTCCATTCTTTGATGGGAGCACTGCATCTGCAAGAGAGTTTGGTTCCTCTTTGTTATTTAGGGGCCATAGTGCACAGAGCACACTTGTGTTGGATGTTTGTAGAATACCTGAGAGTACTGAAGGGTAGTTGAGGTGTCTGAAGGATTTTTTCAGGTGGGAATATTAATTGCGTTCATGGTAATCTTTGTCCAAAGTTGCAGTGACTATAGTTCTAAATTTGTTGGGTTAGTAAACCTGACTGTAGACATGAAAAAGTGAGTACAGCTTGAAAAGAGATTTTATGCTGTACTCCTGCCTCTCCTAATAACTCTTGCCTCTACTAAGAAGCATGTGATGTTTATTTTGTGTTTTAACTATACAGTATAAGAAGATACTCACTAAGGATGATGGGAATTTAGGCACCATTGAAAGATTTGTATCTGGTTCTTTGGCAGGAGCAACAGCACAAACTTCCATTTATCCCATGGAGGTAAGGAGCAGAGAATCTTCTTCCACTGGAAATGCTGCCAAATGTCTGGTTCATTTCCACAGTAAAAGTAATTTTGCTCTTGAAAGTATTCTAGGAATTGCTCTGTATTCCTATATACTAATGTATTTTTACTTCTGTTGTATTTTACTTCCTTTCAGAATTTCATTACTTGGCATTTTAGACTATACTAATTGATACTTGTAGTTTTTAGGTGCATTTAGCTGTCTAATATTTTGTAAAGCAATTTTAAAATAAAACCTAGTTCACAGAAAAAAGTTCTAAGAAGACATTTAAAACTAAGTACCTATTTAAGCTACTTTGTAAATCTGGCATACATGTTTTCCCCCACTGTGTATGTAAGCAAGGTCTGTAGCAGAACTGATGAAGTTCTGTTGCATTGTGCCTGGGAGCTGGGTCTAATTAGGAGATCAGTGTGGAGCGTGAACAAAACAGCTACAGTTGAGGCTGAATGGATTAACTGCTCTTTCCTCTGCAGGTCATGCTTGTATGTGGTACTACATCTGTTGCAATTATTAACTGCTCTAGGGTAGCTATTTCACATACTATATAATACTAACAAGATTTGAAAGTAATGGAAAATGTAACCTAAATAGCTTTTGCATAGGGAGAAGTGTCTGTAGGAGTAGAACTTAGCTGTTTTTGTTTTCATTGGTGACAGTGATAATGATCTCCTTTAAAATGCATCCTTGCTGTTAGAGCCACTGAATCACAGCTAGCCTGAGTACAGAGATGGGTCGAGTTATTCTATAACTGAAAATGTTTTATGCAATAACTGAAGTGATGTAGATCATCTGCATTGATCAATGGAGACAGGTGAACTACTCTCCAATAAAATGCTCTTATCTTCCTAACAAAGTTATAATACTGTCCTATATGTGGTTTTTAGGGTGTTTCTAAGTAAAAGAGAAAAGCAAAGTGCCAGCAAACTCCTGAGGAAGCTGCAGTCTAATGAGGCTTTAAAGTAGGCCAGATTCTTGCTCAGGAAACTTCCTCTGTGGATTCTTTTGGATACTCTTATTAATTTCTTTGTCTGAAGATGCTGTATAGACTTACTTGCATTTTTAATCCAATGTTGGGTTTCAGTAGTTGGACACAATATTTATGTCCCTTAACTACCTCTCAGTCTTGTGCTTTTTGAAAGATTATTTTCTTAATATGCTTTGTTGTTCCCAGAAGTGTGATCTGCTAGTATGTTAATGCTCTGACTTCTGTAACTACTGCTTCTATTGAATAGTGCCCGTGCTGTTGCCTTCAAATTGTTAAAAAAATCTGCTTGTTTTAATCAAGAAAAGAAAGCTAAAGTGTAATTTTAAAAGACTAATACTTTGTAAGCTAGTCTATGATATTATGTGTGCAACTCTGCCCTAATAATAAACCTGAAAAAGCCTACAGCTAACAAAGCCTTAACAGTAGTTATCACAGGAGATCTGAAGTACCAAAATGCAGAGCACTTCCAGATGATTGAATAAGCAGAGTGATACTTTGTGTTTTCCTTTGTTCTTAAAATACGTTACTGAATAGGTATGTAACTAAGACTACTGTTTTCTCTCCTTTAGGTTTTAAAGACCAGACTGGCTGTGGGAAAAACGGGGCAATATTCTGGAATGTTTGACTGTGCAAAGAAGATCTTAAAAAGAGAAGGTGTAAAGGCCTTCTACAAAGGCTATATTCCTAATATTCTGGGTATAATTCCTTATGCTGGCATTGACCTTGCTGTTTATGAGGTGAGTTTAGATGACTGAATGCATGTTGCTTTCATTAGTTAATTTACAAAAAGGATAAATATTATTTAGAATACACCTGCATTATTAGTTGTATTTGTAATGTGCTTGTAATACTACAGTTGCCTTCTATTTAAAGTAGATAAATGAGAATTTCCACTAATCTTATTAGACTTTAATAGTTTTCTTTGCTTGCCCCTCCTGGAGGAGTGTCTGTGCTCATGGGTCCCAACAGTTCCAAAGAAATACACTCAAAAGGCAGGATTATATAGACCATGGCAATACAACATGCAATTTTTAGTAGCTCTGTTGGACTGGAACATATTTATTCCATAGCAAATACAGGTCTCAAAAACCTGATTATACTCATGTTATCTATCCTGCATGTATGATACTTAAGAATTATTTTTGCTTTTTCTCTGATTTATAGTTGAACTATAGTAACCTGAATTCCTTCTGCATTCATGCATGTCACCAGAATTTTGCGACTGACATAGAGTTGTAAAGAGTTTCAAACACCTCTTTCATTTCAAGAGGAACTGGCACCTCTTTCATTCATCAGCAATGGTTATAATATTTTATTTACCTTAGATCCTAAGTGTTGCTTTGAAGTGTGTCAAGTAACTCAGATGCACAAACTAAATTTTTCTCTAGTCCAGACAAATCTTTTTGTGACACTGCAGGAGTAATCAGCAGAACTGCTTGAGCAAGTGTTTTCAAAGGAGTATGGAAGTTCTTTTCTACAGTTTGTATCCTTTCGTCTGCATGAGGTGACATGCACAGCTGTGTGAGCTTTTATTGCATGCTGTGGAGTGCCAAGTTGTGTACCTCTCTTTCTCCCCAGAACAGTATTAACAGCTTTAGGAAAAGGGCACTGTATCTGATGCTGAATTTTTTAAGGACTTATCTTCTAGGCATTAACTATTGCAGTCTGGTTCAAGTCTTTACCTGTGTGCAGAGGTGTTACCTGTGCACTTTAAGAGTGAGTAGGACTGGTGCAGTGAGAAGTGTGCTCTTCAGGACTGAGCACCTAAGCTTTGTTATGAAGGAAGATATGTTTGTCTACTTGGCTGAATGCAGGTATCTTCTCTTACTATTTCATTCTATATCTTGGCAGCTCTTAAAGAGTACCTGGCTAGAACACTATGCATCAAGCTCTGCAAACCCAGGTGTTTTTGTGTTGTTGGGATGTGGTACTGTTTCCAGCACATGTGGGCAGTTAGCCAGTTACCCTCTTGCTCTTATCAGAACACGCATGCAGGCTCAAGGTGAGTCCTGTTGTACTGAAAACGTTTGTGTGATCACATCAAAATTGTATCATTTTTGATAGCTGTAGCAGAGACAGGGGAATGAAAAAACAACAACTTGGAATGATCTGGAAAATTCTTCTTAGTGTTGGTCCATTCTCCTTATTAACCCTCAATATTGTTCTTCATTATGCTTGATTGAAATGTAACAGATACTAGTGCTCTGTGTACACTGGGAGCTGCATTCCATACAAGACTACCAGGTATAGAGCTCTCCTGTCATAGTCTGGGTACACTGAAATATACAATGTTCCCTAAATTTTAGAGGAAAAGTGAAAAGGACTTGCATCATCCTGTGAAGATAGACAGCAATGTCTGCTCTGGAGGACATTTAATAAAAACAGTTTCATAGCTGACATTTGTGCACAGACTTAAAGACAGGAGTCTGGCTTTCTGAAGGAATGCCAGTGGTTAATGCTTTTCAGTGGGATTTAGACACAAGGCTACCTCAAATGTCTGGGATTAAAGAGACTCTCTGTGAGGACTTGAGTTTTAATCAATAGCCCTAGAGGTGATAGTAAGTTCACCACACAGGTGTTTTAATACTTAAGAATTTTAATATTACTAGAACTGTTGTATAACACTGTATCTTTTTGTTCTAGCCTCAGTGGAAGGAGCTCCGCAGCTAAATATGGTCAGTCTCTTTCAAAGAATTATTGCTACAGAGGGAATCAGAGGACTTTATAGGGGCATAGCCCCAAATTTTATGAAAGTGCTTCCAGCTGTCAGCATCAGCTATGTTGTATATGAAAAAATGAAGCAGAATTTGGGAATAGCATGAATTCAAGGAAAAAGGTGAGATGCTTCTATTGTTGGAAACACAAGAACAAAGAATATTTCTCAAGCAATCTGCTCTCACAATTTGAGACAGATCTTTGTGGAGAGATGCTGCAACTTCTACTTTTGCCCTCAAGTGGGAAGAAACTTTCTTAAATTTTAGTTCACCATTTCTAAACAGATATCTATATTGCACTTTAAAATGTCACGGAGTTTAAAAAAAAAATAATCAAGAAACTGTCCTTAAATCAACAGTATGATTTTACTCTTGGCGCTTTTTTGTATTTGTCTTCTTTAAATGTGTGTTTGGCTTGGATCAAACCAAAGGTAGGAGAAGTTTATACTGCCTTGATACTGAATACATGGAAGTGACTTTTTGTTTTATCATGCTGCCTATACTGAAGCAATTCACAGGCAACATTTTGCACACCTAGAAGTAAGCACTTACTGTTATTTTTGAAGACTTAAGTTTGTAGAAAGTAGGATCTTAGATACAGACAAGGGTGGAGTAACACATTAAATTCTTAGACCATCACCTTTATTGTCAGGCTAACCTTTTTATTATTATTTAAAGAATAAGAGCCTGAGAAACTGCTCTTCCATGGCATTGGAATACCTCAAAAGGGTTTACACAGTATTTTTGTAATACAGTTAGTGTTTTTTGTAACTTGCTTCACTGGATGTGCTTTTCATTGCACTGGTAGACACTAGCACCATTGGCCAGGGCAAATTTAGAGTTACAGCTGCACATTTTATAGGATCAAAATACACAGGAACAAAAAAAGCTTGATTACTTGATCCATTCCATATAAGTGCAAGTTACTGTTTAAAAATGAGGTGGAGGATCCAGTATTGAGCTGATAGCAATCATAGTAGAGCCAATAGCAGAGCACATCATAGCTGCCTTGGGGAGAGATGCTTCTCATTTTGGTCTTCCTACTCTTTTCCTTTATTCTGAGGGCTACAGTCCACTGTGAGCTTTCAGCCAAAAGAGGACTGCATTATTATGTAAAGGTTTTACAGATTGTCATGGGAGATAAATCCTCTTTCCCTCACAGCCTTCTGTGTATGGGGGCTGTGTGTGTGGAACTTGGAGAGTAAAATATTGAAACATTTTGTCCAAGGGACCAAATGGGACTGCTAATCTCAGATGCCAATCAAACTGGTATTAATTGAAGCAAGCAAAACAAGCACACAGAACTTGTTAGGACTTGAAAAACAGCTCTTCCTCAAAAACCAAAGCAGAACTTCTTCAGTGTAGAAAGTAGGTATTTCCATATACAGGCACTTCCAAAGTGACTTCCTTTTTCGCGAGGGGATGGGGTGGAGGAGGTGCTGCTGCTGCACTGCAGTTGCCTTCAGGCCTGAACACTGAAACAGAGTAACAATTACTGCCAATCTCCTTTGATACACTTTTTTTTTTTTTCCTGCTTCCTGCAATATATGGTGTCTTAATCTTTGTGAATTTGGGATTATATTTATAGTTATCTTGACCATCTGAAAGCAACTGCTCTTAGACCACTTCCTGAAAATGGATTACTGAAGGAAGAACTTTGTTCCTGTTAGGTCGTTAAGGGTCTCTTTTAAATTTATTTTTTTTTAAACAACAAAACAAGCAAGCATGATTAACTGTCTGAACCTCCCTTGTTCCACATACAGAATATTATTTGGGCTGTATTTTTCAAGCAGCAATCAGATGTGAATTTGTGTTCTGTACTTCCATAAGCGGATATATAACAATGCCGTAAAATTTGTGTTATAAAATCTTGTTCTATCAGATTTCAGAAAATGGCAGCTTGGGCTGTGTCTTTTGGCTTTCAGTTTAGGGAAGCCTTGGACTTTTTTTAAAACAAAAAGTCATTCTATCCAAATCATCTATATGTACAATGCCTTTCTGATGTGAATGTTTCTTGGTTTTGCCAATTTTCTCGTGTCTTTCTATGATTTGAGAGATCAGTTCCCAATTGTTTTGACTGTGACCAATGAGTGCATGTGTGTGATGTGAGGATGACTTGAGCACTGCCTGTCTTCCACCTTTGCTCCATTTTGTTTATAGTGTGCAAGTGCCATTGTGAGTATTGACAATTGTGGTAATGATGTTTGCAAATTTTGAAAAGATGGGGTCTTTCAAATTTAATTTCACATTGTGCCTCTATGATGACTCTGTTCAATTGTGTAATCTTTATCTCTTAAACATGTTTACCTTTCTAGCTCTATTAAACTACCAATTTCTAATAAATGTTTGATTCCTTATCTGGCTGGAGTGTGATGATGTTTTTATCATGGCCTTGATGGACAGATGACACTTCCTTATTGCACTGTATGCATAATACTCAATGCAAAAAATAAGGTAATTTATCTAACATTAAGTCTGGGACTAGCCTATGCTTTGCTATTACATGGATATTTGAAAACATAGTTTGAGATTAGTCAATGGTCATGCTGTTTAAAACTCTAGGTGCCTTGTCACTTAGTGGGAGATCACATAAATAATATTTGTCCTTGTTCATTGAACAGTATTACACCCTGATTTTCTTCTGCACATACTGCATTACAGAATTTTTAAGGACAAGTATATTTGCTAGTGGTCTTAATGTTTATCTTGCTTTGATGTTAATCTTACTTGTTAGTCAAAGGATCAATATAAAATCTTTTTAAGGTAATTGACTTAATTTGCTATGCATGTGTAGCATGGTTATCTGACTGAAAGCATGTGCAATAGCCAGCTTGGACAAGCCATTACAGGTTTTTCGCATGAATCCTTGAAATGCTTAAAGTAATTATAAACAAATTAAGAAGGCTTTTAAAAATTGATTTGTGTAAATGCAGTTCTTGTAACATAAAATTTAGAAATTTCCTTTTAAATAACAAGAGGTAGATGCTCAGTGTGTGATTCCTAATTTAATGTACAATCTCATATTCAATTCTACTTGAGGCAAGGATGATTTTTAACTGGAAATTATCTGCAATTGGAAAGTGGGCTGTGAAAGATCTCCCTTACAGTGAGCAAGTGCTAAGTTGTGCACGGTCAGATGCAAGAGTTGGATGGTCTCCCCATTCCCTCCAAAGAGAAAATCTAAGATATTACAAAATGTAGCAGAGATATTTAAAATAGTGCTTTCAAATTAGCTTGCAGGGAAACTGATTTCTGCAGTCTTTTTATCAAAGATGGGGGCCATTTAAATGTTGGTGTTTTTTTTAAATGTGTATATCTTATTACACAGGCAGCACGTATGATGTTTGCCTTTTGAAACAGCTCAGATCTGCAATGTGTGTACTGCCATAATTTCTAACTGCTTGCAGCCATGTGCAGTTTGTGTTCAAACAGCACTGAGGCAGTAAAAATACATGGACAGGCTGTTTAGAACAGTGTCCTTCTCTCCCTTATAAAAATATTTTTACCATCATTATAAGCTTTGTTGTGTGTTGGCCAAGGGAAACAGAATGCTAAGCAAGTATGTCAAACTGTTTTTCAAACTTGTTTGTTAAGTTTTTTGTGTATTATATGGAAGTATTTTCATTCTGTTGAAACAGTGTGCTTCCAAAATACATAATGAGTTTTTAAATTAATGGTGACATGTGTAGGTTGATGACTACTTTTGTCACTTGCATTAAAAAGTGAAGCTTGAAACTTAGCAAGTTCCAGAAAAATCTTTCACATTTCCTCTGTATCTTATTTTTCATTAGGTGTTTAGTGTCTTTCAAAATGTATGCAGAGATCACCTGTAGATCATATGAAAAATATTGACATAAAGCTTGCTACTGCCTTGTTAAAGAAACTGAGGCATGAAGATTTAAATCAGGTAGTGTCATAGGTAAGTTAATAAGAGGTTCAGGTGTTGTGTCCACATCCAAATTGATCCTGAACAATTCTTAGATTTCTGGGGTGTTTCTTGAGCAACCATTCTTCCTATGCATAGACCCATACATAAGAGGCCCATAAGGGGGAGAAAAACCTTTGTTTACTCTTCAAGATATATAAGGGGTGTGTCTGCTATTTAGTAGGATTAACACTAGAAAATACTGCAGAAATTGCCTGAAATTTAAAATAAGGCTTTCAATGTGTGTCCTCCCCTCTGTACTGTAGTGGGCTTCCCGGCAGGATATGCCTGCTCCAGCAGTAGCATTTGTCACAATGGCACCAGCCCCGGCCCAAGCCCTCTTGCACACTTGGAAGGAAATGTTATGGTGAATGGGCACTGTTTGCTGAAACCCACTTGGCAGCTTTCCTTTCTGCTGAAGAACACCGGGTGCTGCTGCACTGCCCAGGTGAAGCTGGGTGTGGGCCTGCCTGGTGCCCAAATTAGCTTTCCGAAGCTTGGGTTGTGACGGGTTCTTTACTGTCTTGTTTCAACCTTCTGAGCTAGCTGCGTTTGTTGGCATGCAGCAGCATGTATTGGCATCTTTTCATTCTCCTAATATTTAAAAGATAGAGAATGTATGGCAAGGGGTGTGTTGCAGTATGTGATGTTGCCACATGTAAGCTACTAAAATGTGAAGAATGTCTTAACCTGGAGGCCATGTGACAGGTAAGGAAGTGTGGCTTTTAAATGGTTCCCCTTCTGATGTCTGAGTGGTCTTTGGGATGGCTTTTAGGGCTTTCTTCTAGAGACCATAATTGGTGAGAAGTGAATATTCAACACAAAGTTATGTTGGAATATTGGCAGTCTTGTAATGTGAATTTTATCTTAGCTTCTAAGCCTTCCTGGTGTCTGAAAATGTCTAGAAATATTACTTCAATATTTATGCAATTCAAGGTAAAATTGTGTTCTGGCAACTATTTAAATGACTGTTGTGCACCTAAGCTCTTATTTTGTAAGTCTGTTTTTGCAAGCACAGCCTCCTGGTCTTGGCTGTGTAGAGGAAATGTGAAGACTCAAGACTAAATTCGAGCAGTGCCATCTACTGTCGTGTTGTGATACTTTTTTGTAAGAGGGAATGGCTTTTCTAGACTGAACATTTGAGTTAATTCCTTGGAGTTATCTTTACAGCAAAGGTAAAGCAGTTTATAACAGTTCAGGATAAACTCATCTGAGCTGTATTTTTAGTGGGGATTGTGGCAATGTGAGGTAACACCATGTTTGGAGCAATGTGCTCAGGTGTGAATTACAAAAACAAGAATTGTCTCTGCTTTGCATAAGGTATTTGAAGAACCTATTCTATGTATCAATTTTTACTTTGAATGAAAACCATTTGAAACAGAAATTTTGTATGTCAACATTCTGTGGTTTCTCAGTAAGATATGCTAGCGTGGAAGGTAAAGGTTCCTTAACTTAATGGCATATTGCTAAAGAATGGTTGGTATGAAGCTTACCTGATTCTTTTGAAGGAGTGAAAACGCTGTTCTGTGTTTCAGTATTTCCTTATTATGCTGGTATCAAGATCTGCACTGACAGCACCATGTTTGCTTCACAATGTTAGAACAATCTGACTGCACATGGATAGAATGTTTCTCATGGTTGCTCACTAAATGTTACAGATTTCCCAGCTGTGCTGTGGTGCAGCTACTGATGTGTCTTGCGGACACAGTTGCTACGTGCTTCAAAGCTAAGCCAGTTTGGACCTAGTCCAGCTAGCTCTAGCACTGCTCCATTCCTTTCCACCTTTGGACTTCTTAATAAACACCCTTCTGTCCACCCGACCCCCCAGCTGTGTTTGACACACCTCCAGGCTCCTTATCCACCACTCCCAGCACAATCTAATACTCCAAATCTGTTTTGTTGTAGGGATTAGGTTTATGCCCCTTCTGCTGTGGAACCAAAAATCTCTTCATCAGTATATTGGAAGATACTGGACAAGTTAGTAATTGTGTCCACAAGGCCAAATTCCAGATCAGAGTGAGCCCTGTCAGGTCCCTTGGGAGATGTGGAAGTTGAGTGGATTGCTCATGTATGTTCACAATACTCTATGGAAGAAGTGTTTTGCATGCATCATGTGTGGCAGCTGCCCAGTCTGCACACTTCAAATTTTGCATTCATTTGTGCTTAACACCTTGACTTCCATGTTCAGTCCTTGGGCTATTTCTTGGTTCTTATCAGCATCTTCAGTTATTTTGGGAAATAGAGATATGCCTGAACAGGGCTTAAAAACACTTTGCTAAGAAAAATATTGGATTGCTGTTGCTGCTAACAAAGGGTGTTTGTGATGGCATGTTCCTGCAGCCTGCTCATGCTTCAGTATCATATGTGATGCAGGCTTAAAATAATTCCTTAACTTGAATTGTCTTGCAGTGTAGATACAACAGTCTCTGCCTCTCCTGCCATTCCATTCATTGTGTTGGTACTTCCTGGGATAATCACAGGCCAAATAGTTTCACCTAGTTACTGCAGTATCTGTTTCCATCACTCTTCTTCCAGTCTTGCTGTGTTAAAAATGCTAAGCAAACCTTTCACATAGCGTGGGCCTATTAGTAATTGACTAAAGGAGAAGTTCAGAGGCCAGGATATCCCAGCGATGGGACTTGGTCTGCAGACAGGTTTTCTTAGTAATTTTGATGACACATTTGGTGTCTCATTCCTGGAGGTATGTCTGAAGCCATCCTTCTGAAAATGGATGTATATAAAATGTGTCACTTCTGAACTATAAATACTAAAGGTAGCAATTTACATATTGGAAGAATCTCAGCTGTAAAGTTTTCTATTGTCAGCTCAAAGATTACTTGCAGGAAATGGGGAAGAATTACATTTTAGAGTTTCTTTCTCATGTTTGTAGCTTCTTATTTCTCACTAGCTGGACAGATTTTACGAAGGTTTCTCTAGGGAAGAAATAATGAGATGTAATTGCAAATTTTGACAGTGATGAGGAAGGGTATAAAGCTCTGACTCATTCATCTCCACAGTTAGCTACTTCTGCTATAAAAAGATGTTACTCTTTATGGGTTAGGAAAGGTTGTGCATTGTGGGTAGAAAACTCCTGGCTTTCCTGAAACTTCTGGACTTGTTCATCCAAAGCCTTCTGCCTCTGCAATGGCAGCAATAATGGGCCCCTGATTGTAACCCATCCTCATTAAAGCATTTGTACTAATGAATGAGTAGCAGTGCACGTATCTGATCCATCTAATGCATAAATGTTTAATTTTGCTTTTGCCAGGCAGACAGTTTGGCAGGACATAGATTTCTGTGCAGCAGAGAAAAAGATACAAGTGTGGTGTTGCATTTCTTTACAGGGAATTGGAGCTGGAGTTGGAGCACTTCTGAATCAGTCACGACACTGCCATCCCCTTGAAGTTAGTTTGGCTTAGACATCAAATATGGCTCACCAGTCCCTTAAGGAGTATCTGGTTTTAGTTTGCTTCTCCACTCTCCTGTACTTTCTCTATTAGAGAGAACAAAGGGATAAAGGAGAAGATTTATTCAATATTTTTGCTTGCTCCTGCAGACTCGTACCTTCCTGTGAGGCATTTGCTGGCTGTAAGGTAATGGCACTTGTCATTTCCACAGTTTGACATTTTGATAGGAAACAGTGAAATCCTGTAGATAGGAGAGCCTGGCAGAGGGAGATTTTAATCTGTTTGGCTGCTGATCTTCTCATCTCTGCCCCTTGTGCTTTCTTGTCTGGGGGGTGGTAGGCTTTCTGGGACTGACATGCTGGGATGGTTCAGTGTGTAGCCTGAGTTGTGCTATGATACAAATAATATTCTGGTTAAAAATTGAGACTTTGGCCTATAATAGCACTTGTTAAAGTAACACAGACTTTATCTGCAGAGGTTTTCTGTTAGGTCAGTGCTTAAGGTAGTACTGTAACAGGGAAAGTCACCTGGTGGAGCAGGAAAGCAATCATACTCTAAAAAAATCTTGATTGCCAAAGTTGCCTGCTGGGATAAATGAATATTAGTATTAAAGATAGTCTTTAATGTCTGGAAATAAATTTGGCTTCCTGCTTGATTAATTTCTTTAGCCACTTCTCCTAGCTTAGTAGAGAGCTGTGTTTCTCACTCTTCTGTAGCAATCTCTAATGCTGCAAGTGAAGAGTGTGTACATCTCTGTCTTGGAACCCAGTGCGAACTTGCTGAGCTGCAGCAGTAAATACTGCTTAGTAGGGAAAAGCCATGCACAAAGCTAGAGCCTGAACATCTGAATTCGTCTGGTTACTCGCCCTTCTGTCTTTCACTACGGGTACTGCCTCCCTTTGGGGAGCGCGTGTGGATGGAGAGGCCTTGTGAGTTAGAGCAGTGAGTCCGGTTTCAGGCGGGGCTTTCCCCGTCCCCCCCGGAGCCTCCGGGCGCCCCCCCCTTTGCTGCTGCAGTTCTGGGGGGTCCGTGTTCGCACCGCGATGCCCGGCAGGGGGCGCTGCCGCCCCCGCCGTCCTGGCGTCTGGTGCCCCCGGCGGGGGGGCTGGAGGGGAGGTTAGGAGGGCGAGGGGAGGTTAGGAGGGCGAGGGGAGGTTAGGTTAGGAGGATGGCCACTGTCAATCCTTTGGAGGAAATCTCGGAGTCGTGAGACGCCTGGCTCTGCAGCAGCCGCTGCGGCGCGGGTTGTGCTGAGCACGGGAAGGGCTGTGCTGCCGGGGTGGGAGGTGGGCAGGAGGCGGAGGGGGAAGGTGGGATCCAAGTGAGCAAATGAAATCTGAGGCTGAAGGTCAGAGAAATTTTCCTGACAGTGCAGAAATCTTCCCAAGGGATTTCCGATGGCTTCAGACGCTTGAATGTGTGATTGAATGAATCGAATCTGTTGCAACGTGTATCACCGACAGTCCTTTATTGCTGTAGGTCACTTAAGACTGAAATGATGAGAAAGACACAAGATTTTTAATTGTTCTTTAGCAGTCAGCAAGACAGGATATTTCATCACCAGAATCTTTATTGCCATTTTCTGCTGGAGTCTGAGCACCTGGGATAGCTGAGCTACACAGGCTGGAGCTTAAATGAAGAGTGTAGGCAAATGTAAAGGTTCAAACAAGCATTTCAGGCTGAAATCTGATGTTCATGGCTGATGACAGTAACTTCTCATGAGAAAATTTCAGCAAATAATTTGATATTTCATTGTTAAGTGTTATTTTTTTTAAAAGCTCCAAAACTATATACATTATTTTTTAGGAACCCATGTATGTTCATATCTTTGAATTTCCCAATGTGATATAAGAAATAAGCCCAATAGCATTGAAGATCCTAGATTACAAGAGTTGTGGAAGCTTCCCAGGTGCTAGAAGTTGACTTTCATGTGGTTAGCTCCATGTAAAGATACTAGGGATGGAGTTTGCCATGCAAGCTGGGTGGTGGAAGTCAATGCTCTAGGCATCTCTAGCCCAAGAAGCTGTTCCTCTGTGGAACTATTTGAAACTTGTAATTACAGGCTTTTTATTTAACTTTCAAGTATATCTTAGTAGTACATGAAATATAAGCACTCCAGGCATTTATAATGCACCTTTTGAGTATAGGCCTTACTGTAAAAATGACTACAACTCCAGAAAACCCTTTCAGTGGTGCTCATGGGCTCGTGCAGGTGAGAGCTTAACCCCAGGGACTGTCTGGAATCTGTTTTCCAGAAGGGAGGAAGTTAACTCTCAGCACACTGTCCTTTCAAAGTAATTGAGCTTCAGTTTTGAAATTCTTAGTGTCCTGATGGCTTTCAACTGCTTGTATGAAGCCCATTCAAGTGCTTCCTCAGGGAGAGGGTGTCACATGAAAAGAAAGCACTTCTCCATGCTCCAAACTATCTTAAGGAGTGCTGTCCCAGAGCCTCAGCAGGAGACTATGGCTGGAGCAAGTGTGAGCTGCTTCCTCACCATTATCACTGTTTTCTCTAGACTCAAATTTCAGAGCCTGCTTAGGATGTTCAGGAAGATTTACAGCATGGGAATAAGGATTATTAACCTGTGTTCTGGAAGCAGTTTATCCCCCATTACAGAGCACTACCTGGGGCAGCTGCCCCCCTCTCATAAGTTGCTTATACAGGATTGAAGTTCTCTGCTTTTATTTGGTACCTAACAGCAGGGACTTGTGCATATTGTATGTATATGGTGTTCAATTGAGTACAAAATAGGAGTTTATAAAGGGATTTAATTTTTTTTCACTTGTACTTTTAAAGCTATTGATCTGGCAGAGGATGTTTGGGGTTTTTGTTTTGGTTTTGGTTTTTACATTTTTAAAGTTGCATGTTTTGATGCGTCACCATCTGGTTATAGAATCAAGACATAAGCAGAATTCAGCTTCAAAGAGGCTTCAAGAATTTAGATCAGTAGTAAATATTTCATTAAACTGTCTTAAACTGAGAAAGCAAGGCAGTTCAGTGCTCAAGATTGAGCTTATAGTTCATGTTGAACCTCAGTTTGCAGTTGTGTATCAGTACCTAAATATAAAGTTTTATGGCTTGTTTGTTTTTTTTTTCCTAGTAGAAAAACTTAAAACCTGTAATGGAAACATAAAGAAGAGATGTAAAAATCTGTGGCATTTTGATTAAGATGCTTATTTTCTATATGGTTCTGTTGGCAATTTCCTTTAAAACTGCAAACTTTGAGATAGAAAATGAACATTTGCCAGCAGATATCAAAGCTGAGAGACTGAAGCAGCCTTTCTTTTGTATCTGTGTACATACAAACACGTCAATATGTGCCTTTAGACTGCTTGTCTCCTGTTAATTTCAAATAGCTTATTCCCTAAGAATGTCAGATATTTTCCCTCTCTAGTAAAAAAAGCAAGGTTGATTTACTGTGTTTTAAAACTTACTAGGGACCTTTGGAAAAGATTTCAAGCACTAAAGTGGAAAGTGTTCAGCACTCTATTTGTCCTTCAGCAGGCATTGGCCTTATGCAGGAACTTGACCTAAGCCAATTAAAACCCCTTTTCCCCAGAGCCTACTGTGTGCTTTCTCTGGGGATGAGTTCATGGGCTGACAAGTCCTTTACCAGACCAGTTCGACTCAGATTGAGTCACTTTGGGAGAGTCTGGATGGCTTCTGCATGCAGATTATTTTTGTGTATGAGAAATGCATGAATATTGCCTCAGGTGTTAATTAATGCAATTCTTACTTATTGAGAACTTCAAGCAGAAAAATCAAAGTTCTCAGACAGTATTCAAATGTACTCCTTACATCTAATTATTGACACTCCTCACAAGTGTCTGGCTGAGAACCCTTTCTTGTTTGCTACACGTCTATGACCATACTGTACGTATGTAATAGTGGGAACTTCTTAAAAATTTTACTCAGCTAAATGGGGAATTTTTTGTCTATTTCATTTTACAGTAACTGAGATTCTGTTTTCTAATTTGTAGGGTTTTCCTAGCTGTAGTGGTGAGGTAAAGGAGATGAGCTTGAGCTCCCATTGGTCACACTTCAAATACTTTCTCCTGTACTTAATTTAATCAGTAAACAGCAGAACTCTAATATTTACTGGGAAGTTTCTCAAATGCTAAAAATGGAGAATGAAGAATTAGAAGAAAATGTTTCCTACGGTACTAACAAGCCTGTAGATTGGGCAGGTTAAAGACACGTGGCAACTTTGTATGGTCATGTGCTATGTAGAATGCAGGATGCTCTGCAATAAGGATGTGAGAAAAACAAGGCAATGAATAGGAATTTAATGCA